ATAAACACTGAATCCAAAAAAGTTCCTAAAATGTTAATACAATACAATAATTCACAATTAAAAGATATCTTTAAAATTAAAACACCACGCGACGAAAGTTTAATAATGAATTTTATCTTTCGAAATTCAGATAAATTAGAGTTAAACAAACAAATAGATAAAAATATTAAAACAAACACAACATATAATTTTGCAACATCAACATTAATTAAAACTAATAATTTACATTCTAATTGTATAGTTATTCCAGATGAAAATATCAATGAGAGAATTAAACTAAATCAGTCTTTAGTTAAAAGAAAAATAGATCTATTAAAGGCAATAGAAAATTTCCAGTATTTTATCTTAATTGCATTAATTTATAAACTTTTACAAATATATGTGAACTTAACAGATTGGTTTAAAATAAATTTTAATTATAATCATAATATTCATAACACTACGAAAATAGCACACAATTTAAAAAATATACTTTTTCAATACACATTTATTAAAATAAATTCATTTTTATTAGACATATCTACACTTTGTAATAATAACTTAACTTCTTTTATAAAAAATATTCTTAACATTTTACCTAACTTTAGAAGAAATGTTTTACATATAAAAAATATATTTCACATTTCTTTAAATAAATATTATTGGTCTTTTAAAAATTACTCATATTCTTTTGTTAAATTCACCATGAAAATTAATTGCATTAAGCATGTTATTACTATTTTTGACACTGGCGATTAAAATTTTTAGACAATTGTTGATCTATCGGTCAAAATAGAAAAAACTTTGTTACTAAATAAAAATAAAAAAAAAATTTTTATAACAATAAATTTCTAATTTATTAACCTTTAAGATAAATATATATTGCACACTATATTACGTATCACTTATACATAATTTTAAATATTCATAAATATACAAATAATGCTAAAGCAATATTATTATATTATTTAAATAAGCTAATGAAATATTAATAATTGCTGTTCTATATTTATTCACTCCGTGTCTAGATGTAACAATTTAATGTTTTAAAATTTAATCATTGTATAATCATTAATTATAATTTTGTAATTATCTTATAAAACTAACAATTTTGTATAAAAAAATTGTAAAGCAAGTTTCAACTATTTCAAATCATTATAAAATACGTATGATGATCATTATGAATGAAGAAAAAACAATTCATACTAGTAATGGTAATGAAATAATTAGTTCAACGATGCCAGATGAAGACTATAGAATTCATATTATCAGTATAACTAAAGAATTAAGTACTCATACTATATATATATACTACAAAAAATTAAAATAAATATATTTGTATTATTAAAATTTATTAAATTTTTACAATCGTGGCTTCATTAGACATTTACTATAAACTACGAAGAATGTGAAGTCCTACAACAAAGATGAATCATGGATTTCCATATTGAATAGCAGTTTTATAATCATACAGAACCAAATTGCAATACATATAAATTACAAAGACCAAAATTATAGTAGAATGAAAAAACGCCTGAACTTATTATTTTAGTCGCTATTACTATGTATAGAGAGAACACAACGGTCTTCGAATACAACTTCTGATTCTTTAAAAATTTACTATTCTTATTATATATAAATTATTTGCCTTTCTCGGTGTACAGATTTTTAATCTGTTTTTGTTATAAAAAAAATAAGAATTAATAACGTGCTGTAAAAATACGACACTACTAATAACGTTATAAATTACTATTAAATTATACAACTCATAACACTACAATAATTTTTGTACTTATACACATACTTTATCATAATAATCACTGAACTAATAAATATCATATTGAATATTAGATTATATCACTATTTATTATATGTATTTTTGTATAATTTATTAATATACGATGCATTATTATTCACTAATATAAAATATTCACTCATATATGTCATTTTTTATAACAATAATTAGAAATGGATATTTATCAAATTACTTATTATTAATTAATTATTAACTATATCGTTTATATATTCATTGTCATTGTCATTATTATTATTATTATTATTACTATCACTATTATCAGAATTATCATTATTATACTTACTATTATATAATATCATAATCACATTATTATTATATACTATATTCACACATTATTATTATCATTTTATTCATGATTTAAATTTTTACTTATTCAATATTTACTATTTTTTATATTTAAGCATAATATACATAATTTTTTTTTCTTTCAATCATAACGAATACATACTCCAAAAAGTTGTGAGGACACAACACCTAAAAAAGTTGGGGCGGATGTTGTAATAGGCCCTTCACACAACCGAACAAAATGTTTATCTGTTATTCTTTCATCTTCTACCCACACACCAATAAATTACAAAACACAATCAACACTTTCTATCACTGACTGCAGATACACACACAACTCACACAATCACGCCATGCACACACATCCGTTCCTTCCCAACATGTACAACCCCGTAGTTTTACAAAATCCTTCTACAATGTCAGCAAAATAGCAACAAAAGAATCTAAATAAACGTAAGGCCGATGGTCATGTACGTGTCTGGAAGGGGACTTTGGAAGGACACCAAAGGACTCCATGGGCTCGTCTTACATGGCCTGTTCCGATCCAACCGATTTACGATCACGTCGTCCAGCTCTCTTTCGCCTTTTAAACCAATTTTGTATTTTTTTTAGTTTTGTTTGTTTTTCCTTTAATATTATTGTATTATGTGTTTTTAATAATAAAATAATCGAAGATACTTTTTTTATACAAATTGATTATTATAATTCATACTTTCTTTATTGTTCCACGAGTGAATTATTGTATCAATAAGGATTATATGATTAAGGTAAGAACATCCTAATTTATTGTGTATGTATTTAAAATAGCAAGTGACCCTCGAACAACACACCTCGAGAAAAGGGATAGTTCTTATTTTGCGATATTCCTATAACATTCCCTTCCATCTTTATCATACCTTCCCTTTTCTTATTTTTGTTTTACAACAGATGTCTTACCTTCCTTAAACCTTTTAAACCACTCAAAACATGTTGTCCGAGAAGAACATCATCTCCAAAAGCTTGCTTCAAAAGTTCAAAAGTTTCACTTAAACTTTTCCCTAATTTAAAACAAAATTTTATGCACACACGTTGTTCTTCTATTGTTTCCATTTCGAAAATTGACGCATAACAGAAACATATTTTTTTAAAAATGCCATAAAAAAAAATAAATGTTGTTATCGTTTTCAAACCAATACTCAAATTCTCGTAAGAGGTTACTTTGTTGAATGGAATTATCGGGATTTTGTCATCTTAATTGATATAAATATTATTAACACAGTCTGGGTATTTTTTGATCACACCTTGTATTACACTTATAAATCATAAAACTTGTAATCAGGATATAAATAAGGAAATAGGAGATCATGTAGCTTATGGAATAATCTATCAATTTCTTAAAATTAAACACCATCTACATATTTGCATCGAAACGTTTCTTATGATAGTGATTTTAATCACTGTCAGATATCATTATACTTGACCCAACTATGCCACGTCTTCACTGTGCAGCTACCGCACTGTGCTGGGTTTTTTTTATATGTAAATACTTATTTTTTAATAATAAGTAATAATATTAAAACTTAAAAGTGATAGAAGAAGTCTCATTGCACATTTGAAAACACCGCGATTCATTTATTTCGATTTATCAATTATGATAATTTTTTTATTCATTCTTTATGTCTTAAAAGACTGTTGACTTAATATTTTATGATTGATATTTTGATTGATGACAATTTATTCTGATAAAGAATCTTTTTCTATATCAACCAAGAAAATTATCGTTTGTTTAGCTATTTGTATACATTATAAACCGACATTTTTATTATTTCCCTAAATGATAGTTCCGACAAATGAAGTTGTATATGTGAGTATGTAGAAATATATATATATATATAAATATTTATGAAAATTAAAAAAAAATTGTATAGTACGTTATCGAGTAGATATGATGATTTTCAAAAAATTGAATAAGAATCAAAATTTGAATTTTGCGTTTTTCTTACCTTGAAAAATTGACTAAATGGAGTTACAAGTTTTTAAATCTTAAATATAGCTAATTGTTTTTTTATAGAATATGTATTTTCATATTTATAGGCCAAAAATATAAATCTTTGAATGCAAATGTGGCAATTGTGCCAAGACGCCAGTCAAAAGAAAAAAACAAAACGAAAACTATTGTACTGCTAATTTTGATATTGCATGAAAATATTTATGAAATGCACAATTTCATCCTTGAAATGTCTATTTTAATATATGAGATTATCAGTACTCACTCAGGCGTACAGTTATAATTAACAAATAACTTTAATAGTCTTTCGCTTAATGTTCATATTATGTATTACCATGTTCAATTCCTTATGCTTTTTAAAAAAATGAGTTTTTTTCTTAATTTTTTTTAAAAAAAAGTAGTATAATTTAAAGAAGTCAAATAATTTAAATTTTCTTATAGTATATGTTTAGATATTTTACTATAAAATAATACGGGATAGTATACGATAACGCTTTATCTTAAAGTTCAAGTAAATATTAAAAGGTAA